TATCTGCAAGTTTGGATGTTCTTGTGCATCTCCTCTCACTTCATATCAGCTGTGCGCTTCATTCTCAGCTCTAACCCTCCATGGCTATGTCCTTGTCCATGGGCCCAGGAGTCCCCAGGTCTCACCACACTTTGGACCAACCAGTCCTTCCTCTTCTCTATCTCATCTCCAGGTCAGTGGAAGTCTATGGACTGTGATTGAACTCAGCCCAAATCTTCATTGCTGCCTTTCCCCTACTTCCACTCACCAGTAGACCGACATGGTTGCCAGGAAGCTTACATGCCTATTCGTGTGTTCCCTTTGAGTTTCAGTGTTGGAAGGAGGTTTGTCCTGAAGGAACTTGATTACTTGCCTTGATGGCTCGCTGGCAAACAACTTACTTGTTCTTGTAGCAACCAAACAGACTGTGTTTTTGTTTTTGATTTTTCCTGCTGGTCTTTATTTCAAGAAATATCTTCTGTTCCTCTAGCTGCTTAGGTTGGTCTGCTTGTCTTTTCAAGTGGGAATTTCCCACCTCAGAAGGTTCTTAGTGAGGCTCAGGATTCCACCTAAGGTCCTATACACTGCAAAGGCTCCACAAGAAGCCTATTTCACTGGGAAAGTTCTAGCACTCCTGTTAGGTATTCCAATCAGTTTTAGGCTGAAGATGGGCGTACAAGCTGTCTATAATCATGTTTCCCCATATTCATTTCTATTCCACTCAAGTGTTTATTTTACAATAGTAGGCAAGGGAAACCAATATTCATAAGACAGTCGAGCATCTTAACATTATTTCCCCTCTTTTATCCATTCAGACTATACCTTGATCCCTGTATCACAGAGCCCTGTTGTTCCAAGATTGAGCATACATCACTATTTACCTCTGTCCCATTATGCCCAGGCAGACCTGCCTCAGTGTTCCCCTAGCTACATTGTTCTTCCATCCCCCTCTCTCTTCTTGCCCTCCCCAACACTATGTGGCAATCCCCTATCTGTGCTCTACCGTCCCTCCTTGTCCCCTCTTACAAATAATCTTTTTTTTTTTCTTTTTAATATGGGTATATTTTCTTAAGCTGTTACAGTAATGGTCTTATGCAATATTTGTGCTTTCGTGACTAATTTCACTTAACATAAAGTCCTCAAGGCTCTTCCATGTTATGCGGTGGCTTGCAGCTTCCTTGTTATTCTTTAGGATAGCATAATATTCCATGTGTGTATGTACCACAGTTTGTTTATCCATTCTTCAGTTGATGGGCACTGTGGCTGTCTCCATCTTTTTGCTATTGTGAATAGTGCTGCTATGAACATTGGTGTGCATATATCTTCTCGTGTTCTGGCTTATATTTCTTGTGGATATATAGAGGAATTGCTGGATCATAAAGTATTTCTATTTCCAACTTTCTGCGGAAGTACCATATTGTTTACCAGAGTGCTTGGACCATTTTACGTTCCCACCAGCAATGTAGGAGGGTGCCAGTCTCTCCACATCCCCGCCAGCATTTATTGTCCTCTGCATTCTTGAACTTTGTTGTTATTGCTGGTGTGAGTGAGATGATATCTCATTGTTGTTTTGATTTGCATCTTCCTAATGGCTGTGGATCTTGAGTATTTCTTCATATGTTTGTTGGCTGCCCGAATGTCTTCCTTGGTTAAGTGTCTGTTCATGTCCTATGTCCATTTTTTAATTGAGTTATTTGTCTTTTTCTTGTAAAGTTGTTGTAGTTTCCTATAGATTTTAGAAATTAGCCCCTTGGGGAATCTGCTTTTAATGTGAACTCTGACATTTGAATTCGGGCTGCTAACTTCTAAAAATTAAAGCTTGTCGAGATGAACACAGCCAGCCTAACTCGAGTCGACTGAGCCATCAGACTGTGCTCGGCTGTTTTCCCAGAGGCAAGGCAGGGCGGGGGAGGCCTGTCAGCAGTGTCTGCGGGGTGGGCAGACTCTGCAACCCCTCTGAGGGAAACAAGCCAGCCAGCCTACCCTGAATCCATGGTTGTCCATCCTCCTCTTTGTGGACAGGCCTTGGGGAGGTCTCTGGCGCCTCACCCGCTCTTCTTGTCCTCAGCCCTCGTGTCAACCGTGACCAAGATTCATTCCCAGTAGCCCCCACCTCTGGTAGCTGCAGCCTTGGGTGATTGATGCTCAGTGTCTGAGCTGGGGGCGAGGTGTCAGGGTGCAGGAATGGAAGACAGGGAGGAGCAGGATGCAGAAGGCCGCCTGTTTTTCTTCCCATTGCAGGTCTGAGTCAGGCTCAGAGGGAACCTGGGAGTAGGGGACTAGAGCCAAGGGACTGGAAAAAGGGGTAGAGTTAGGGCCTGGGGGATTCATGCTGCAGCCAGTGTCATAGTTGTTAAGTGCTGTAGAGTTGGTTCCAACCCATAGCGACCCTGTATAAGGTTTCCGAGGAGTGGCTGGTGAGCTTGAACCACCGACTTTGAGGTTCATACCGGCTTTGCAGTCCAGCACATTAACCCGCAGTGCCACACTAGCTGGTTGTTGTTGTTGTTGTTGTTAAGTGCCATCGAGTCAATTCCAACCCATAGCAACCCTGTATAGGGTATCCAAGGAGAAGCTGGTGAGCTTGAACCACTGACCTTGTAGTTCAAAAAACTTTGCAGTCTGATGCATTAGCCCACAGCGCTACCCCAGGACTCCATACACTAGCTGATTGTTGCTGAAGTACCATCGAGTCGATTCCGACCCATAGTGACCAGCTGTCACCCATAGTGACAATTCTGTGGGTGGGGAATTGGGTGGCTATGGCCAGACTTGCAAACTGGCCAAAGACTGCCTACAAGACAGGTTTTATTCAGCTGTCTACACTGAGGGGCCTTGGCGGCCCATAAACCGAAAGGACGTTGTGGCAGTCTGCTTCGATAAAGATTCCAGCTGTCCCCTCAGACCCTCCCTGCAGACCAGCTTCACCAGGACACGCCAGTCTGGTCCCTGTGGGCACTAAGCTTGGGATGCCAGGCCTGGGCCTTGAGATGTCAGGATGTCTTCCACCTGCCTCCTGCACACTCTGCCATGCTGGGAGTGGGGGGCACAGAGAGCAGACCTTCTTGTTGGAGGAACTGATAGGATCTCAGGTAAGCAGGAGACTGGGGTCTGTTGGGCTGGGCCTCTCCCCAAGCCCGCAGATGCTGACGGAGCCAGAATGGGAAGGCTCAGCTTGCAGCTCAGCAGCTGCTTTGTCCTGAAGTTGAGAAATGCCAACAAGCACCTTGAAGGGAGCCAGGGACTGGGGAGAGCTGGGAGAGCGGGGCTCCGGCACACCCGTGCAGCTGACAGATCGCGTCCTCCCTGGAGATTGCAGGATTGATTCAAACCTTCCATCCCTGTGTACTTTTAGTTTCCATATCTGCCAAGGGTGGAACATAACAATGCCACCTCACAATGGATTTGCCGGCTAGGCGCGTCACGACTCCTCTCTGTGGACCCTCTGTAATCATGTCTGCACAACAACCTTCAAGTCATCACCCCATCTGCAGGGGGACAAAAGGGTATTTGAGCCCTTTGACCAGCAAGTGTTCTCGGACTTCCTTTTTTAAGGCAACAAGCGCTCCCTCCCTTCTGACCCCAAATCCAGCACTGCAGACTATATTATTAATAATGTCTTTTATTGATTTTGCAAGAGAAAAAAAATAGAAATTTATTTTAGAGTTAATGCCTATGCAGTTTTTTTCCCCTCCTCAATTGCACAGTGCATACAATCATTATAAACACCTGCTCAGGTTTGGGAGCGAATGTGTCTCGTGTTTGTGCAATCTCCCCAACAAACCTGACCCTACGAGTGTCTCCAGCAGGCGTGGGAAGCTGGAGTCCTTTAAAGCAACAGCACTGGCCTTGGTCACTGAGAACCTGTTTGATCAGCCCAGCTTCCCAGGAGGCGGTCCTAGAGGTGCCCGCCACATCTGGGAGGTGAGCAGAGAAACGGGGCTGGGGCTGGGGGGTGGGTGGGCTTGGAACCCACAGAATCGATGGCTCTTCACGGGAAGAAACAATTCCTTATCTTTGCATCAGCCCAGCGCTCCAAAGGAAAAGCGCATTTGCATAGTTGGTCTCGTGCAGAAGCTGCAAAGCTCATAAAGTATCTGCTGGGGCTCTCGGTTGCATAGGAACGTACTTAAGAGTACAGTACCACAGCAGGCTGGGCTGGGCGCCAGGAAAACAACAGATTAATATTTGGAACGAGAAATTACCCACCACTGGGAAACCAATTAGGTCCCTGATCCGTGCTTGTTACATAGATGGAAATAGATGTGCTCTGGGCTCCTGGCGGCTGGGGGTACAAGGCACATTTCCAGCTTGCTGGAAGAGGCCTGGGGCTTGGGCAGAAAGCCTGTGAGTAGATCCGGAGCAATGTGATGGGTTGAGGAGGAGTACCGCTCTCTCTGCCTCATCCAGTGGATCTGGAGGATGCCGGCATGAAACCCATGCCCTATGTGTGCCAGAGGAGTCCAAGTGGCTGGCACGGCTCACTTCTTTCCTCAGTGGGCACAGCCCTGGCCCAGCCCCCCTTTCGGCCCTGAAAGCCTGTCCCCTCTTGCTTTCATCTGGACAGGACAGAGTGAGGGGGCTGTGGCAATCCTGCCCAGAAATTTTAGGGCCAAGAAGCAATCCCACCGTCTCAGTCAGCTATGCTGGCCTCCAAATGAAGCAGAGATGTCCAAACAGTGTGCAGGGACCTGAGCTGAGTGCCCTAGGGCCCCCGCACACAATGCTGCATGGGAGGTGCCCCGAGTCAGGGCAGACCTGAGAAGGCACCGACTCTGCTTTGCTGGATTTTATGGGCAGGGCACCAAGGGAAGAGCCCTGGGCTCTGGCCACTGGCCCCAGAACCTCAGCGGGCAGCCCTCCTCCTGTCTGAACTCCTGTGTCTTCCAGGTTGTCCATCCCTGGATCTCTTCCTCCCGCAGTGGTCCTTGTCCAGCCCAGGGTCCTGGCTGGTGGACAGGAGGGCTGTGGGCAGCCAGAAGCAGATCCTGGGGGCAGGCTGGTCTACCTCCATCAGTCCGTCAGCACCGCCACCGTCTTGCTGGCTCCTTCTCACTGATGCAGGTTTTAGGGCGTAAGGCTGTCAGAGCAGAGAGGGAACCAGTTAGGGAACCTCAGATTCTCCAAGGACACTCATGCCTGCAGGATGAATCCACACTTGGGCTGCCATGTGAGGCCTGTGGGGTCTGGCTGTGGTTTGAATCTCCCAGCACCCTGACCCCTGCCACTCCTCGGCCTTTGCCCTGCAGTTCCTCCACGTGGCCCTGCCCCCCTGCCCAAGTGGCGCTGTTCTGGGCACTTGAAGGGCTCCAAGTGCGTGTGAGGGAGATGGAGACACAGACAGAGGCCTCACAACTGAGCAATCGGCCTTGTAGGAGTGTGAAGGGAGGCTTCCAAAGGGACCATATGGGCTAGGGCTAGGGACAGCTACTGATGTAACTTGAGCTGGCTCATGACACCGGTTGCCTAGCCCCCAGGCAGGCCCAGGGAGCCCCTGAGATAGTTGGGGTGAGGGTAGTAGTAGGTGCCTAGGGAACCCCTAGCTCTGTGTGCGCCCTGCAGGGTCAGCACGTGGGTCTGGCATGCTGGGGCAGGAATCCCTGGTTTCCTGCTGGGATTACAAGCTGCTGTGTGATGGAACTGAGGCTCAGGGAGAGAAGTGTTTGTTCAAGCTCCTGCAGCTATAAAGCAGGTGGCTGGACTCAGCTGTGCCTGGCCCTAGTCAAATGATCCCAAACACATCTAAACACACGTGCCTATGTCTTGTTTTATGGTCACAGCAAACCTGCAGGGGCTCCCAGCTGCCTCTAGACGCGAGGACACTGAGCCCAGAATGGGTTTGGGCTGCTCCAGCCTCAGCCTGCGGTGCACTGGGACACTCTTGTCCTGGGAGCCCAGTGCCAAGAAGGCCAAGGGAAGGAGATAGGACGGCCAAAGTGTCTCAAACCCCACCCTGTCCACTTCCAGGTACCCACCAAGTCTTGCCCACTCTACCTTCCAAGGATCTCTTCCTCCCTCCATGCCCCCGACTGGACTGACCACTCTGGAAGGCAATGGAGATCCTGTAGTTTCCCAGTTCATGATTCCCGCTTCCAGGTGAGGCCTGGCTAGTACACAGCCTGGGCCCAGGGCTCTCCAGCTGCTTACCTTAAACCTGTTTATACTGGAGCATGCCGTGCTATCGTAAAGTTCCCTGGGGGGTCCCCTTGCACCTAGGGGGGGTCAGTATGACAAGACCTTGCCTGCTTCTCCATTGGATCTCTGCTCCTGCTCTCAGGCCCCCATCTCACGCTGCGGCATTCCTGCTTTGGAGCCTTTGCACTGGCTGTTCCTTTGGCCTGGCTCCTTTTTAGCCTCTCTGTCTCCTGGCCCCTCGGGGTAAAGCCCCATTTCCATGCCCCCTGCCTGTCACTGTCTACCCTGACCGTTTCCCTCCAGGGCACCTCACATTTGTGTGTGCTTTACTTGGTTTCTGCCTGTTTCCCAATGGACCGCTGGTGCCCTTAGTCCACCTGCACCCGTAACACCTGGCACAGGGGGAGCCGCACCATGTAATCAGGGGCCTGTGGGAAGAAGGAAACAGTCCACCGCAGCCCCCTGTCCCCCACGGGCTGCTGGGGGAGAGGCCTGAGGCCTGCTATGTCCATCTCCGTCCCCTCCAAACTCCCTGGGGGAGAGGCTCTGGGAAGACAGAAACTGACCTGGGTCAACAGCACCCAGCTTCTTCTTGGAGTTGATAATGACCTGGCTCTCGTTGGTCATCTGGATGTCCTGATCCTCCACCTGGTTACTGGGGGTGGGGGAGGCACTCAGTCTGCAGTCTGCACACGGGGTGCCGGCCATCCAGCTCATGTGGGGCAGGGCCAGTGAGGGGACGTACCTGATGGTGGAGTGCCTCTCCTGGCGACAGAGCTCCAAGCCCTCAGTGAAGAGGATGGTGTGGTAGGGCAGCATGGGCTCGCAAGTGGGCAGGATGCCCCCCACCAAGTGGCTCACCATGGCCAGGATCCCATTGTACACCAGCAAGTCGTCCACCAAGAGCTGGGCGGGCAGACAAAGGGGGTGCTGCAATGAGTACTCCCCAGGATGGCCCATGGCCCCCCTGGGCCCGCAAGTGACCAATCTGATGGGATCTGATGTAATCTCTTTCAATAGAGACTTAAAACCAAAATAACCAAACTCCCCACCTGCAACCCTGTAAATCTTTACCGAGCAGACAGCTTCATCTTTTCCCCATTAATGGGGATTAGCAAAGAACATTGAACTAAGCTGAGCATCACACCTGAATTCATAGTTAGGATGGCTAAGGACCAGATAAGTGAAGTAGGCAAGTTAAAACAAGCAGTAACTAACAGCACAGGTGTAAGCTACGCTGATGGCAAAAACACCTGGAAAACAGAAATCCCGAGGGAAAAACTCAGACCAGGCAGCTAGACAGGTCTGGCCTCCGACTCTCCCCACATATCTCCTGTCCAGAGGCTCGCCCTCACCTCCGGCTGGTAGTGTCCAGCCTGTGCTAGCCACTCAGTTCCACACAACCCCCCAGAGGGTCACACTGTTGGCCCCACATTGCTGACAAGGAGGTGGAGGCTCAGGGGTGAAATACTGCCGCCCACAGCAAAGCAGCGATGTAACAGCGTCTCTGCTTCTCTGGTCCCTGCTCTCCCCACCCGTCATTCAGCCGTAGGAAAAGCTCCCAAACCAGTGTGATTCAAGCAGAAACAAGATCAAAGAGAAGAAACCCCTTCCTATTTGTTCAGGGTGAGGATTCATGCCACCCTGGGAGGTTTCGAATTTCACAGCTGGACAGTGAATTTCCCTGCATCTGACGACTGTGTCTAAGGTTTCAACAGAGAAATAAATCAAACTGCGACAAATGATCATCGCTGGCAGTCTAATTACCAGTGAGCATAATTATCTCAAAAAGCTCAGCTAATAACTACTTACGCCAAACTCCTTCACCCCTCGATGGGGTGTTTTTGCATAATTCCACAGTTTGATCATTGACACGGTGGTAGGCAGATCGAAAATCACATAAACCCGGTTCACCTGTCAGGAAGAAGAACTAATTAAAATAGGCGTGTTTGGAAACAGGCTCTTGGCTGGGTCAGGGTGCTGGGTGTGGGTAGGGGGCCAGCTGGCAGGCTCAGCATGTGGAGTGTGGCGTCTCCTGGAGCCCGCTGCATTCAGATCACCTGCACTGCATCAGTACCCTATTAACTGGCTCCTGGAGGGAGGCCAGACCCACAAGAGACAGCCACTAACCCCAGAGCTGAGAGCACCACGTCTGCAATGGCCTGCCTGTGTCCTTACCCTGGCCTCTTCCACCACACACAACGCAGAGAGGCCCTCCTCCACACTGCCAGGTAAGTTTAGGCATATTGCCTGGAGCCTTCGGCTGGGATACCCCAGATCACTAGCAGACCCTCAGCCCGCAAACTAGCACCCAACAATCCTAACAGTTGCCCCCACCTAGCAAACTCTGAGACACCAGGGTAGAACACAGGCTGTGACCCTCCGATGTTAAGTGCTATGGAGTCGGTTCCCACTCATAGCAACCCTGTGTAGGGTTTCCGAGGCTTTTTACATGTTTGCAGGAACAGAAAGCCTTATCTTTCTCCCACGGAGTGGCTGGGGGGCTTGAACTACCAACCTTATGGTTTGCAATCCAGTGCTTATCCTGTGAGGCCGCTGGTATGTGTGTAAGTGGGATTAGCCTTCTGTGGCCATCCTAAGAATGCCCCCAAAGGGTGTGTGTGTGTATATGGGGAGTGGGGGGTCAGCCTTCTGGTTGACCCAGGGGCACAATAAAGGCCTACATGAGCCCCTCAACACACAGAGCCCATGGGGTTCAAACGGTCCAATTGTTCAGTTCTGACCAGATGGAGGGCGGGAGAACCCACCCCACATCTAAAGACAGCAGACTGCAGCCCTGAGCCAGGCAGGCAGGTCTGTTCTCCGTCCTGTGTGATGGTGGTGGGCTGGTGCTGAGGCGCTGGTGGGCCTTCAGCAGGGCCCACTTAGAGGCGGCCTGTGGACAGCATCAGTCTCAAAATTGCCAATGTTGTGCCTTCCTGGGAGTGCTTCCAGGGGAAACTGTACCCCCTCCTACCCAATCAAAGGGAGTTGAAAAGGGCGGCCCTTCAGTGGCCTCACTGTTGCCCCCAAGCATTTGGACCCTCAACCACCTGAGCTATCACATTCCATACATCCCCAACCCTGGCTCCCTGCTTCCTCTCCATCCACAGCTGACTGGGCCTGGCTATGAAGACCATGCCTGGGCTCACCAGGAGGCCTCAGAGCAGGTTAAGCAGATCCAGGCAGCCTTGGGGGAGGGCTGGCTATGCTGGGGCCATGTACCAGCTGACACTAGGAAGTACTGAGAGTGGAGAGGCCCTGGGTTGGGAGGGAAAGCGGCAGAGGAGGGGGGGAAACCAGAGGGCACCAGAGTTACCTGGCCTCAGCTTCCCACGTGGCCCCTTGTGACTACCACCCACAGCTGAGAGGAAGATCCTTTCAGGTGTTAGCAAAGTCTGTGCTTTCCTGATGCTTCCGAGGCACTTATGTGAGATGAACTTGGCCACAAAGTCCCAGGTACCCACCAGACCCGGAAGGATGGGAGCCAGCCACATGTGCCTCCCATCGCTGGTGTTGTTCACTTGGTCGATGAGCTTGTCAGGGGTCCGAACGTCCCCACACACGCCCTCCAGGCAATTCACACTGTCCGGGAAGGCAGCGATGTCTGTGGAAGGCTGTTAGTGGTCATAACCGGAAGATAGTGCTCGACACTGTGCTGGGGAACCTGGGCTGCCGGGCAGAGCCATTGTGGTTACTCAGGGCAGCTGAAGGAGCGACAGTCAAATTGAACATGTGTGTGTGTTTGTGGGGGGAGAAGGGGGGACAAGTTTGCAGGGGCTGGGAGAGAACCAAGCAAAGAGCTGGCTGGAACTGCTGGCGACAGGAACCAAACATGCGGCTGCTGTTCTGGAGGGTGGAGGCTAAACTCTGAAGTCCTCCTTTGGAAGAAAACGGGTTGAGGGGTTTGGCCATGGCTGGATGCAACCCCGCTCTTCAGCTGACCCCATGTGCAGGGTTAGATTCTTTCATGGAGACCCATGATATTTCTGGGCAAAGTGGGGATAAGGACCTCCACATCCAAGGACTTGGGGTGAGCACGCTGGTAAAACCAATAGAGCCTCACACATCTAAGGAAGCTCGAGTAACGATTTAAACCACCAAGAGTTATGTTCCCAGTTGAGGATGGTGGCATCAGGGGAGGACAGAAAATAATCCACCTGGGACCCAGGGACCACAGACAGATGTGAGGCAGATTTGAGGGTTTGACTGGCTCTAGCTGAGGGGACCCAGGAATCCTAAACTCAGACTCTGAGAGGGCTCAGGTCAGTCAGATAAGAGACAGGACACAAGTGCCTGCTGGCATGGTCTCTGGAGCCATGGTCTTCCAGCTCCAAGTAACCCAACCTCTGTGTCTCAGACTCCTCATTTGTAAAACGGGCATAGAAGCAGCCGCTACCTCACAATGTTATGGGAGAGGGTAAGTGGGGATCCATGTGAGAGGGCCCAGTGCTGCATGAACTGTTAGTACCAGGTCTGAGGGTTCTGCTGGGTAACAAGAGGGCACACGGCTCACCAGGGGGAAGGCAGATGCTCAGAGCTGGACACAGTGCACAGGGCACTGCCAGGGTCCCAAGAGGAGGCGCAGATTTGGGGTTTCATGTGAAACCTTCTTATTTAAAAAAATATGTATTAGCAACTAATTTAAATTATTTAGACATCCACTGTAGATTCTGGTCTGTATGTTCCCAGAACAAAGGGTTCCATGCTCAGTACACTTGGGACACTGTGAGCTGAACACAGCAAAATAGACTTTTTCCGGTAGGACTTGTCAGAGCCTTAGAACCCCAGAGCGCAGGGCTGGCTCCCTGGGTAGGGTTGGGGAGATCTCTCGGCTCTCAGCACAGCTCCTGGCAGTTCTAACATGGACCCTGCTTCCTCCAGGGTTCAGGATTTCTGCTCTCCTGCAGCCCCCGTACCCCCTTTGACCCTGGAAGGATACTGTTTTCCGACAGAGGAATTTTCTCTCCACGCTCGTCATACATCTCCAGGCCAGTTAGGCCGATGTAATAGGGGTCACCCCAGCTGGTCAGCAGCTGAAACTGGAAAATGACTGGACAGGGATTAAGGAAAACCAGGTGTACTGTTCTGGAGAACCCCGCAAACAAGGCACAGATAACAGAGAATTCTCACCGAGACTGAAGCTTGTCCAAATACGTCAAAGCTCTAACTAAAAGTGCATGAATGCCCAGACAAGGAACCCAGTAGTTCTGTAGGGTGAGCGCAGGACTGCTAACCACAGGGTCAGCAATGCAACCCAGCAGCCACTCCTCAGGAGAGCCATGGGCTTTCTGTTCCTGCAAAGGTTTACAGCCTCCCAAACTCGATAAAGGGTTGCTAATAGTTGGGATAACTCCACAGCACTTATAACAACATGTATGTACATATGACTGTGCATGTATCTCTGTGTATATTCATATGTGTCCAATGCATCTATATCTATCTCCCTATCTATCTATCTATCTATCTATCTCCCTATCTATCTATCTATCTATCTATCTATCTATCTAATACATGCAAGGGGATTGAAAACACTTGTGGTAAATTCCAATGATCTTTTCATTACATTTTCCCATAAACTTTTTTGGGGCGGCCTTCATTTATATCGTTGTTCTTGTTGGAGGCTATAGTGTCAGTTTCAACTCACAGTGACCCTATGTGCAAAACAGAACAGAACACCGCCCAGTCCTACACCATTCTCACAACTGTGGTTATGTCTGCATCTATTGCTGCTGCCGCTGTCTGTCTTTTCACTGACCCTCCACTTCACCAAGCATGATGTCCTCCTCCAGGGACTGTTTTCCTCCTGACAACATGTCCACAGTATGGGAGACAAAGTCTCATTGTTCTCATTTTTAATGGGCTTCTGGCTGTACTTCTTCTAAGACAGATTTGTTTGCTCTTCCGGCAGTCCATAGGACTTTCAATATTGTTCGCCAACACCTTAACTCAAATACATCTAATGGTCTTCCTTATTCATTGCCCAGTTTTCAATTGCATATGAGGCAACTGAAAATACCATGGCTTGGGTTCGGCTCACCTTAGTACTCAAAGTGACATCTCTGCTCTTAAATACTTTAAAAGGTCTTTTGCGGCAGATTTGACTAATACATTGTTTTATATATTGACAGCAGCTTCCATGAGTGTTGATTGTAGATCCAAGCAGAATGAAGTTTTTGACAACTTCAGTCTTTTCTCTGTTTATCATGTTATTGGTCCAGTTGTGAGGAATTTTGTTTTCTTTACACTGAGGTGCAATCTATACTGAAAGCTGTATAGTCTTTGATCTTCATAAGTCTTTCATGTCCTCTTAGCTTTCAGCAAGCAAGGCTGTATCATCTGCATATCACAGGTTGTTTACGAGTCTTCATCCAGTCCTTCAAGGCCATGCTCTTCAGATAGTCCAGCTTCTTGGATTATTTGTTCAGCATGCAGTTTGAGTCCCCCATATACATATGTATTTAAAAGTATTTATATATATATAATTAAGGTCAGCAGTTCGAAACTACCAGCAGTTCTGTGGGAGAAAGATGAGGCTTTCTGCTCCCGTAAAGATTTGCAGCCTCGGAAACCATGTGTAGGGTCACTGTGAGTCAGAACCGACTCCATGGTATTTAACAACAACAACAACATATAAAACCCAGTGTTGTCAAGTGAATTCTGACTCACAGCGACACTGTAGGAAAGAGGGAAACTGCCCCATAGGGTTTCCAAAGTGTAAATCATGACCGTGGCAGACTCCCACAGAGCCCGGAAGTGGGGGTGGGTGTTGAAGCGCTCATCTTTTGATTGGCAGCTGAGTACTTTAAACATCGTACCTCCAGGAATCCTAGGTTACATGCAAAAGCATATATGTGTACATGTGCGGG